CAGGTGAACCAGAAAGTGGGGCTCTTCGAGGCACACATCCAGGCGCACAGCTCTGCTGCCCAGCCGCCGCGGAGCCCCCGGCCATCCCGGCCCCGGTCCAGCAGCCCCACGGCACCAATGATGGGACCTGGAAGCGGACCCCGGCCGCGAGCCTACGGGGAGAGTGAGGCCCCCGATGTTGGTGGGGTGCAGGTCTGGCCGAGCACTGCAGAGCCCTCAGCGATGCCGGTGGTGACGGTGGTCCCAGCTATGGGGCTGGCAGAGGGCAGCAGCCCCCTGGAGCTATCAGGACCTGCACCATGGCGAGGAGAGGTGGTGGTGGCCCCCACAGGACTTGAGAGCCAGTGCCCAGCTATCGGTGGGAGCATCCCTGCTGTCATCGTCACGGACCTGGGGGGCCCGGAGGAGGAGGCGGGCTCCGTGCCCCCCGGCAGCCTGCCCGTCCGGAAGCTGTCGTCGTCTTCAGCCTCTTCCACTGGCTTCTCTTCATCCTGGGAGGAGTCCGAGGAGGACATCTCCAGTGACCCTGAGCGCACCCTTGACCAGACACCGGCCTTCCTGCAGACTCTGGACCAGCAGAAGCCCCGAGTGGTGAGTCTTCCACCAGCCCCAGGGAGGTGGGGTGAGGGCTGGCAGCGTCCCCGCTCTGAGGCACAGCTGCAGCAGAAGGGCAGAGGTCTGTCGCAGCAGAGGTCTGCAGAGAAACTTTCAATTTGCTTGGCAGTGCTTGCTTTCCCTCACATGAAAAGCTTGTCCCTGTTCCTAGTCTGAAAATCCCCTGCTCGCAGGAGAGAGTAGCGGTACCCGTCACATTGTGCATGGTCCTTGCAGAGCTTCCCCGGTGCTGCAAGCTGCCCGCCAGCATGCTTAATGTGCACCCAGCGGGCTGCAGCCTTCTGCTGACATGTAGTTACGAGCCTCAGCTTTTCCTCAGCACATCTTCCCTGCATGCTGGAGGTTTCCCATGATTTACATGAGCCTAAGGGAGAATTTATTTCCTCCTCGGTGTTGAAACTGTGGGCCAACTGTCTGTTAAAATTTATACTGATGCCCGTCACCGTAGTGTCTGTGTGCTTTTCATATGGAACCAAAAATACCTAGAATTTCTGGTAACTCCCCTTTTGAATAAAACTTCTTGCTTGTGGGGCATTTTAGGTAAGCATGTTTTTATTAGGTATTTATATTAAGTTCATTTGTTTCCGGATCTTTGTTGTGGGGCTGGTTGGGAGGCTTCAGGTGAGAGAAAGCGTCGTGGGTTCTGTATTATCCCTAGAGCAGAAAGGTCTCCTCGGAGAGGAAGGCTTTGAGGCACTCTTGAAAGGCAGACACATGGGATTTCTTGCGTCACTTGGGGAGCTCATGCCATGTCTGGGTGTTCCGCACAGAGCGTGCTTTGCCTCTGGGCTGTCACACCATTTATCCGGTGGCTTTGAACCACTTCACGCCAGTGCAGGGTGCCCATCACGAGCTTCTTGACCAGCACGTGGGCTCTCCCATCCTCCAGCTGCAAGACTTTACATTCATTTGAGCTCAGCCCTGGAGCCTCACACTGACAAACCCTGAAAAATGCAGGGCAACCCAGTGGCTCCTTAATTTTAAGGAGTTTGATAAAGGCCCATCAACTTGCAGTGATGTGGTTCACCATGTTTAACTTTCTGTAGACACTTGATAGTGAAACTCTTGCTAAGCTCAATGACACAAGGAAGACCAGTGCAGGGAAACACCTAAGTAAAGTGAGGGTATCAAACTCATGAAGAACTGAAGACTGTGGTTTGTAAAACACTCAGCAGGCTGAAATAAATATCTTTGCTTTTCTACTTGTTTCATCCTGTTCCAAGAACTCAGGCTCAGTTCTTCTCAGGATGGAGAAGCAGTTGAGTAAAAGAACAGTTAATGAAGTTACGAGTCTCTGGCTCATCATGTTTGCAGACAGTTTTGTATTTTGGGGCTCTCGACTGATGAATCAGCTTGCTCCCTTTGGGAGCTGCTACAATCCCTCTGCTGATTAAATTCTGCTGGTTTTGTGTGCATGAGCTGTAGTAATCTCTGCTCTATTCTCCATACTAATGACTGTTCCTAGTGCCAGATCCCACTGATCTGCTGCTGAAAACAGTTCGCTGATGGGCAAAGTTGTGCCTGATGCTTTTCTGGAAAGCTTCCTGGAGCCTGAAGCTGACTCTGTGCAGCCTCCCGTGGCCTCCAGCGAGCTCAGCCAGGCCGGTGGCTCGGCAGTGAACAGGCAAGGCTCCTTTATATTGCCAAAGGGCCTGGATCAGAGCGAGCTCCCATTAGGTCTAAGATCAGAGTAACTCTGCTGGGCTCAGTGGGACTACTCCAAGCTAAATGAGATGAAGGTCTGGTCCAAAACGTGTCAGGCACCCTTGGAGGTGCACTTGATTCTGCGTTTCGGTGCTGGAGTTGTCTCAGCAGGAGTGGCTGGGCTAATTTACAGTGATACTTTTCCACTGGACTGCACAGGTCCCGTGCAGGGCTCATCACTGGCTTTGGCAGTTCGTAGTCAACTTCTCAGCAGGATCGTGCGCAAGTGCCCAGTAATTCAAAGCTGATTCATATAAATAACACCCAACTTCGTGTACCGGTTGGCAATGTCTTTTAAATCCATAATGACAGCAGAAGGCAGCTACTGAAGCAGTCTCAGGTTGCACACTCATTTGTTTTCATGAACTCACTATTTCCTTTTAACAATGCACACGGTCTGGAAATGAGTTGTGTAATGAGGGAGAATGTGTGAGAAGCTCTCTCCGCAACTCATGCTTTTCCGTCAAAATAAATCCTGAGGGACCTTGGCCAACAGAAATCAACATCATGCCTCTGGGTTGAAGTAGATGAAACGTTGGGCAGGCAGAGAGCCCTGCCTGCCTGCACCGGGTGCTGCTGGCACAGGGAAGGGCTGTGGTACCTGAAGGAGAGGAGGAGAGGTAGCGACGAGCAGCAGGAAAGCAGTTCTTGCTGCAGATATGGTCTGCGCCGCACATCTCGCATAACATGTTTACAGATTTGATAAACAGCAGGCTTGCTTCTTCCCTTCCTCTCTGGAGGCTGCCTGGCTTAGCAAATCTGTTAGGGATGTCCGGCTGTCTGTTGTAGTTCCTCCTGGAGTCCGCGGGAAATGGGCAGATCCCTCCGGCTGGCACGGACTTGTTCTCCATTTGTACATCAGGTAGGAAACTTCATTTGTGGTAGGGCCCGCAAATTGGCCAGTAAGTAAATGATGTTGCCTAGTGAAAGGGAGAGGAGGGAGCGTGGCCACTTTTTTTGGACACTGTGACCTGGAGCAGCTTGGTGGCTGATACAGGCTCTGCTTTTGAGCAAACTGTTTCAATAAACAGGACATTGCCTGTCCCTAGAGCACTCTGGTGCCCAGTGGGCTGCGCAGCGCTGGGATATGGTGACCCTGCTGGGATTATAGCAGACTTCTGAAGTGGAGTGACAGTAAGAGCAATTTGATAATGGTGACCCTGCTGGGATTATAGCAGACTTCTGGAGTGACAGTAAGAGCAATTTGATGTTTTGCTGTTGTCTAATTGCAAGTCCACTTAAGGTCTGAGTAAACGCCCATGTAAGGGCTTTTGCAGCTGTGGCTTTCCCCAGGCTGCGGGCTGCTGCCGGAGAAACCCCACGCTTGTTTATTGATGCTTGCAAGGTTTCAAAGACACTTGAGCGATGACAGTTTTCGGGCTGCGTAGGAGGGAGAGCCTGTCCGGGCAGCACGTTGGGATGGGGACACTGCAGTCTGGCAACGCCATGGGGGAGCGCTCGCTGCACGCCCCCCTGCCACAGTGACGTGGGCAGTTTGGGGAAGGAGCGGGTGCCTCCACTCACCCACCACCCAAGCCAGGGGAACGCAGCTGCTGTTGGAAGGTGCTTGTCTCTGTCATGGCAGGACTCGTCCCGAGGGAGGGTTTCCCCCCTCCTGGCTGATCACATGGGTTGGGTGGGTAGGGCAGTGGGAAGGTGCTCCCTGTCCCAGGCTCCGAGTGGCATAGGTAGCCCAAGATGGCAGCCTGGCTGCTAAGCGGGATTTCACACCCAAAACAAGCCCCGTTCTAGCTGTGACTCCCATTGACTTCGATGGGGAAAATAAACATCTGTGAGTTTTGCTGTTCCTGGGGGATCCTGTTTGCCCTTCCTGAGGGGGAGCTGATAGACCAAGGTGTACTCAGCAGCTGGAGGCTTGGCCCCAGTCTTGGAAGCTGGCTGCACCCCTAAAGGGAAGGATATTCCAGTGCTGGTCATTACATTGAGTCGTTGTCATTGACCTAAAAGCAACAGGTGGGGGGGGAAGGCAGACATTGTGCAGGTATGTTCTATACAGAAATGACACAATTGAGGGGAAAAAAACCCACTCTCCAGGAAAAAAACACTGCAAGACGCTGCAGTGTTCCTCTTCCTGGCTTTCCCACAGCCGCTGTGGAAACACAAGGACGTACGGCAGAATAGTAATCAGGCGACTCTGGGTACATTGTGAAACCTCTGCTCCTTTCAACAGGCAGAGCAGCTTGCTCAGAATAAGAGACTTCCATTAACCTGTGCAAAATGCTTTTGGAAAAAGCTAATGGCCCTGCTGCTGACAGGTGATTTTTTAAATTGATTTATTTGTTTGACTCACAATGGCTGTAACACGTTTCTGAAAGGAGCCAAATTTAGATAGGGTTAGTGTCAGCCAAGGGCCTGTGGGACCCTTGCTTATTTCTCTGTGAGATGTTCCAAGGCATAAGCTGACCACAGCACTCCTGATTTGTTCCTATAAAAATCAGTCAAATTAAATACGCTTTTATTCCCTTTCCTAGCTGTCACTGTGATCAGGAAACCTTCGTGTAACAGAAACCATGACCACATGGCTATGGTGATGCATGCAAGCCCCGTGAATGTGTATCTTTATGCTGACTGAGTTTATGTATTTTAGTCCTTCTTCCCACCATGTTTGTCTCAAAAGCTCCTAAGCTTATGTGAGTGGTATCACCAATTTAGTATCAATACAATGTCTAGCATATTAGGGCCCTGTTTGCTTGCTCTGAAGAGCGACTGATGCTCTAGTAATGTGTATCCTTGCCCAGAGAGGGTGCTTAGGACGCCGGGTAAGCTGCCAAAGGATGGAGCCTCCTTCAGCCCTGCCATGGGAAGACTAGGAGGAAGAGGAGAATGAGGTGGGCACCTCTGTGTTTCCACTCTCAGAACACCATGCTCAGCAGACCTGACAGCATGGCGTGTTTTGTCTGCTGGGACGAGATCAGGACCCCCTGGTGCCCAGCAAGCTGGGCAGAGCTTCAGGCTCTTGTAGGTGGAGGCTGTGCGCTCCAGAGAGTTCACAAAGCACCACTCCCTATTTGGTAGCTTATCTTCTACCTACTCATGTGGCCTTCTCAGGGAATAAGCAGCTTTTTTATGGGCTCCCACCCACGGAGGCTAAGTGAAAATGCTGCCATAACCCAATGGGAGACAAACGGTGCTATTTCAAGTCCATTTTCATCAGCACTTTTTAGCTCATTGGGAAGGGTTTCTTCTCCGCTCGAATTCTCCATGATTGACAGTGCAGGAATTACATGGCACATAGCAGATCCTTTTCATAG